GTGTCGGTCTACACACACCCGCCCAAAGAGAACAGCCCGCACATCAAGGAGGTGGCCCGCAAACTCATACAGGAGTCCTGCAAGGTCAGCGCTCCTTCAGTATTGCATTAGTCATATTTTGGTAGATTACTTTAGTTTTCAAGTTACTGTTACTGCGGAAAATGATCATAAATTATGAAAAGGTTTTAGTGTATAGGCTACACTGTAAAAAGTGGCAACCTGCAATTATTACCTTAAACAGCTATTTCTAACTTATTTAACCCATAAAATAATTGTGTTTGTATAAATTATTATATTTAAGTTGATTTGAAACCAGTTAATTTAAAGGTTGCCATTTTTCAGTGTACTTGCAATCACTAGTAACTAGGCTATCAGCTGGTAACTATGGTTACCGTGATAAATATTTATAAGGGATTCCTCCTCATCCTCATCATCCTCATCCTCATCATCAGTTTCGTTTTCTCTTCTCTTCTGATCGCTGTCTCTCCTTACGCTGGAAATGTCAGGTATAGATGTGCCTCATGTGGTTAACATCTAAATTAACTGGTTTATAATAGTACACTTAACAAAAAAAACAAAAAAAGTGTGAAATTTAACTGCCAGCTTTGCGGTGGCAACATTTTATGCTTTACAGATAATGTATATATCATTAACTTAAACCATGTTAATATACAAAATTACTAAAATCTGTTTTTATATTTACAATGTAAAAATGAATTAAATTAAATAGATAAAAACCGAAAACGTACTGGTAATTTTCTGTCGGGACATTATCCATTAATTTCACTGACATTTCTGTGAACCCTAAAACACAACGGAATGAAGTGCACAATTCAAAATACAGGTAAAACACTTAATAAAAAAATAATTAATACATTACATTAGGCCCTATTTTTAAGGATTTCTTTACAGTATATAATACACTGACAGCTCCTACACAGGGAATCATAAGTAGCTTTTCAGAGGTAACGAAATTGATCAGAAAAACTAAGAATTTCAATGAGAAACCAATCAAATGTCATCCGTCACACAGGAATCTGGGAATGCCAATATTACAGCTGATTGTTTTCACTATCAAAAACGGTACTGTAACTGTAAAATTGCATGAAATGTCCCATTAGATCAGTTTTTCAGTTTTGTCGACTGTATTCGGGACCGTCGCATACATTCACAGGTCCTGGGACGTGTTTAGGTGGATCCTCTCACCCGGCCAATGAGGATAGACTATACATACAGGACCTGAGTGAGGCCCTCATGTCACAGGTCTCTCTGTTTCTCATCTCCCGCAGTGCTGGATGCTTTAAGATCTTGTTCAGACTTGATCTAACCGTCTGTTTCTTGAGGAACGACTGCACATGATCTGGAATCACTGACTCACTGAACGGACTCGACATGTAGCAGGAAATTACACTCATTCTGTTTCCCAAAACATCTGTCCTGAAAGAAGCAGAAGTGTGTGTAACAACGCGCTGAGCTGATCGGTGTGAAAGTGTGTTTAACTCTCGCAAATCTCACAAGTCATCTTTATTGTCTTCATGCAAATCTCATTTCTCGTCTCTATATTACCATTATTCCTGCTGGGTTTAGTGAGGCTTTACAAACAAAGATGTCGGCTGGAAGATCAGAAAACAGAGAGAGCGTTTGGGAAGGAGAAAGTGAAATCTCTATGAGTGTGAATCAGCAGCTCTTCATATTTACAGTCTGAAGTGTTCCTGTAATCCTGATCAACAACTCGTGCTGAGTGGACATGAAATATCATATTAATAAGTCATAAGAGGCTTTGTGTTAGAAACACTATTCAAATCTCAAATTTCATCAACATGCATTACACTCTTAAAACTAAAGGTGCTTAAAAGGTTCTTCACAGCGATGCCATAGAAGAACCATCTTTGGTTACACAAAGAACCATTCAGTCAAAGGTTCTTTAACCTCCTGACTACCAGGAAAAAACAGTTTTGTGAATTTAGTATTTTGTCATGTCATTACATTGTTTAGAGCATTAGAAAAAATTTGAAAAATACAATTTTTGAAAAATTATATTTTATTCATATGTTATTACACACATTCATGAGGACATCGGTACTTTAAAAAGTCCTGTTTTTTAAAAAATAAAAATACATGAATAGACATGAAAGAGTGGGATTTTTGTTTTAACCAGAAATCAATTTTCATTTTTTTATACTACAGTGGACATGTATGAAATCGACGTCCGGTTTCATAACAGAAGCTCTGTCTGTGTTTTGTCCAGGTTGTGGCTATCGTGATGGACCTGCTGACCGATCTGCAGATTCTGCGGGATCTGTTTGAGGCATCCAAGCGCGGCGTGTCCGTCTACATCGTGCTGGACGAGCAGGCAGCGCCACACTTTCTGGACATGTGCAGCCGAATGCAGCTCGGAGATAGAGAGCTGAAGGTACACAACTAAACCAGAAAAACATGTCATTTCTTCAAATAAAATAAAACATTTAAAAAAAGCTTGAACTACTCAAATAACTACACCTTATCTAAAAAAAAAATAATAATTAATGCAAATATATATAGGCATAATAAAAAAATGACAAAATTACTAAATATAAATGAAAAAAAGTAACTCATAAGGTTCTTTATTGGCATTGATGGTTTCATGAAGAACCTTTAACATCCATGGAATCTGTCCATTGAACAAAAGGGTTTTTTTATAGTGGAAAGCAGGTTTATTAGATTATTAAAATGTTCTTCACTCTAAGAAAACAAAGGCTCTTTTAAGAACTGATCACTGAAAGGTTCTTTAAGGGAACCAAAAATGGTTGTTCTATGGCATCAATGTGAAAACACCCTTTTGGAACCTTTATTTTAAGAGTGAAACTTAGTCCCCATAAAATAAAATTAAAATTAAAAAAAAAAAAAAAAACTTTTTTTAATATATATATAATTTATTTTTAAAGATATTTATATATTTAATTTTAAATATTTAAATTGATTCATCTGTGGTTGCACGAAGAACTTTGAACATCCATGGAACCTTTTTCATTCCACAAAAGGTTCTTTATATTTAAATTATTAGAATGTTCTTCACACTAAGAAAAATGTTTCACTGAAAGGTTCTTTAAGGGAACCAAAAATGGTTGTTCTATGGCATCAATGTGAAAACACCCTTTTGGAACCTTTATTTTAAGAGTGAAACTTAGTCCCCATAAAATAAAATTAAAATTAAAAAAAAAAAAAAAAACTTTTTTTAATATATATATAATTTATTTTTAAAGATATTTATATATTTAATTTTAAATATTTAAATTGATTTTATTTTTGGTAATTTTTTGTATATTTTTGAAAATATAATATAAATATATATATTTTTAAAGCATTTAAAAATATATTTTGCTCATCATATATTTCAGCTTAAGAAAATACAAATGTCTCATTTGAAGAAAAACATTATTTGTTGTTTATAACAAGTGTAAACATTTAACACACTTGAATAACAGTGCAATATTCCAAGAAAATACAATATTACAATTGACCCCATTTTGATCTGTAGTAGGCTATTCCATACACTTTTGCTGTTTGCATTTAAATGTAGGCTACTGTAAGATATGAAATGTATTTTATTGCCCCTGAAATATATTTTAGTATATGAAGGTTGAAACTAAATATATTTTCTATTTCAAAAACAAATTTCATTGAGCTTCACTGTTTACAACATATATTTAGCATATTTTTAAAATATATTTTGGCCACAATAAATGCATTTTTTGCCATATCGGTCCGGTCAAAGCCCGGCCACTGAGACGTTGATGTTAAATTTCAGCTCATGTTTGATGGTTTGTGTTTCCGTCAGAATGTCCGGACTCGGACCGTAAAGGGAGTCGGGTTGAATCTGTCCGTGGGAAGAATCCCGGGAAATGTCCACAGCAAGTACATGCTCATCGACGGAGATAAAGTCATGTTTGGAACGTACAGGTGAGCGAGTGTTTTTAGTCTGAACCTGATGTTGGTCATCTGTGACTCTGGAGCACAAAAGCAGTGTTAAGTCGCTGGGGTATATTTGTAGCAATAGCCAACAATACATTGTATGGGTCAAAATTATAGATTTTTCTTTTATGCCAAAAATCATTAGGATATTAAGTAAAGATGATGATATTTTGTAAATGTCCTACGGTAAATATATCAAAACTTAATTTTTGATTGGTAATATGCATTGCTAAGAACTTCATTTGGACAACTTTAAAGATGATTTTCTCAATATTTAGATTTTTTTGCACCCTCAGATTCCAGATTTTCAAATAGTTGTATCTCAGCCAAATATTGTCAGATCCTAACAAACCATATATCAATGGAAAGATTATTTATTATAAAAAAATGGACCCTTATGACTGGTTTTGTGCTCCAGGGTCACATATCTCATATGGATTGTTGTGTCTCTGCAGTTTCTCCTGGAGCTCTTCTCGAATGGACAGAAACATGATCACGGTGATGTCGGGGCAGGTGGTGGATTTCTACGATAACGATTTCCGACAACTGTACGCCATCTCAGACAAACTGGACCTCTTTAAGGAGTTTCACATCAGTAAGCCCCAAACGGGAACGCTGTCTCGGGCCGCGGTGCCCAAACGCCCCGCAGCGGCCACTTCTCGCTTCCAGGTCAATCTCGGAGACGCGACGCGTGGAGATCTGAAAGTGCCAGCACACAAATACCACAATCCCAAATACCTGCTAGCGCTCGGACAGATCCCGGGACCCACGGAGCCGCTGCAGGACTTCTTCAGTAAGATGGAGCCGCCCGATCCGGAGCCGGAGCCGGAGAATCCCACGGAAGAGCTGGAGAACATCACACCTGTTCCCTCTCAGCCCGAGAAGAAAGAGTCCAAGAAACTCAAGACACTGCCTTTTAACACAAAGCGGTGGAAGAAAGGGAAGAAGGACCAGGCGAGCGACGCGGTTATTGAAGAAAACACTGCGAACCCTTCAGACGACGCGTCTAAACACACACTCACCAGAGGCGAGACGCAGGACAGCCTCAGAAAGAAGAAGAGAGGATTCAGGTGCCTTTTTAAAAAAAGCTAAATGACAGTTTTTTAATCACAGCCCTTTAAATGAGCCACTAAAGCCTGTTAACCCTCATTGGGACGTGTTTACAGAACACCTGATTCCTGAGTGTGCTTGTGATGCGATCGATGTGAAAACTCAGCGATAGTGAAGCCTTCTAATGATGCACGACGCTTGAGAAAGAAACCAAGTGATGTCTACATTACATTAAAGGGGAAGTTCAGAGGTGAAACTGTGTTTCTGACATCCATCATTCTGGGAACGTGTGCAAAAGGGAAAAATGGTGCATAAAGAGACTTTTTTTTTTTAAAGGGGTTTTGTATCGTGGGTGACATTTTATGAATTCAATTTTTTAATTTTTCATAATCTGCCTGTAAATGTTTGTATCTCAGGGGATACGGCATAAATCAAGATATTTTTTTTTTTTATAAAAGATATTTTTTACATGTAGACTCTGTGGTCTGTAGACTTTAGACTGATTTCAGTTCAATACTTCAAACTCTTATATGATCATTTAATCATTAATCATTTAGTTGGCCATACTGAATTTAGTTTTAGGTGAACAAAGCATGGATTTGTTCAGATCAAGTAGACTATGGTTTATCAGAAGAGATTTGATCATGTTGCATATCAAATCATGATACAGTAGGCTAATATAGTTCTAATGTCTAAAATAAATAGACATAACTATTGTTTAACAGAATGTTACAACAAACGTTTACTGTAAGTTAATATGAGAGAATATATTTTTTTTAAATGTAGCTGAAATGTTGTAGCACAAGCATTCTTTTTTTAGTGAACAAACAGTAAAATAAAAAAAATAACAAGTCATTGTAGAAGCCTCGAACTTTAAAGGTGTCATCGGATGCCCATTTTGGAACTACGTCACTCTGACAGGAATCTCCGAACAGCCTGATTTGAGAAAGGGGATTTTAAAATAGTGATTTTAACACACAACATGCACGCACTTTATGCCCGGTTCCATTTCCTGTCAACACTTAAATGTGTGTCACCACAGGAAGACGCAGACATTACTGTTTAAACAGGAATATACATGAAATGCACAAGTAAATAATACAAACAAATTATTATCATGATTTGATATAAATATCTTAAAGTGCATTCAGAGCCAAAAATGAGACAATACAAAATGGAAACAAAGTATTAAAGTTGCCATAACAGTCATGTTTGCAAAAATAAATAAATATAAAATCATTCATTTGTATTATTTGTGTCCTAATAAGATTGAAAATAGCAATAAATTATTTTTTTAGATGTCTCTTTATGGTCTTGCCCTTTTTTAGGGATATAGTGTTTATTCGTGAAAGGCTTTTCACATCAGACCCAGCTAACAGAGAACGTTCTGGCAAGATACTGTCAAAGTTATGAACAAATGTTCTTCCAGTTAATAGCACTTACTACCCTTAATGTTCACATAACCAAGAAATAAACTTTACATTAAAAAAACTGGACGTTTTGAAAGTTCAGAGAACATTCAGAAATAATGTTTTAAAATCTTAATGGGAATGTTAGCAAAAGTATCTGAGAACATATATTTGTCAGCTGGGCACGTCGTTACAGGATCTGTATTACATTATTCACTTCTAAAATGTCAAACAGCACTTTATTTTAGGCTTTGGTTAAGTCTGTAACCAAAGTTGGTTAAGGAAAAAAAAAAAGCCTGAAGCTGCTGTTTGATCATTTTTTGCAAACTTCCACTTGGCTTCAAACACGTGGCTCGTCAAAGTAACCCCGCCCACTTAAGGCACAACAGCCAATCAGATGTCAGATGAACCTAATTTACATAATGATTGACAGGTGAAAAAACTCAAAGTACTGGTAGTTTCTGATTAGCTAAAAAAAAAAAACTGTCTTTTTGTCTCTAGAGCTGTCACAGACACAGATGTGATTATATTTTACTGAAAGTAGCCTGACAAAAAATATTTTGTGTGATCAGAGACTCACGAGTGGCGTTTGCCCTCTGCTGGTGGATCTGAGCATCACACACACACACACACTCTCTCTCTCTTCACTGAGCTCGTGCAGCGGACTCACGAGAAAGCATGCAGTAAGAAGTAAGAAGTGCGTCATTTGAGACACAGCCAGAAATGCACTTCTGCTTTTATTCGGTATTTGACCTTGTTTAGCCGGATCTCTCTCTCTCTCTCTCTCTCTCTCTCTCTCTCACTCACTCACTCAGTCTTCCATCTGTTGCTGTCATAATGACGTAACATGCGTGCCTTTGAGCGAGGGGTGACGTACGATTCGTAACGTTTTATTTGGAATTGAATTATTATTTTTGGATAACACTACATTGAATAAAACATTTGCGGTGATTTGGATTTGGTCAATCATTTAATAGTTTAGAATTTTATCCCCTTTAATATTTTATTCAGTAATGAAGTCAATTTGTAGTCCAACCATAGACTGTATAAAAACATGGACGTAGTGTCCGTGACGTCACCCGTAGATTTCTCTCTCTCTCTCTCTCTCTCTCTCTCTCTCGCTCTCTCAAATTCAAAAAAAATAATAAAAATTGCTTTATTGGCATGACTAAAAAATACAATATGGCCAAAGCTTGGAATATATGTGAAGAAACATAATAACAATGAAAGATCAAAATAATAGAAGAACATTATAACAATTTAAGCTTAAATTCTGTGTGTGTGTGTGTGTGAGAGAGAGAGTGTGTGTGTGTGTGTGTGTGTGTGAGTGCGCGCGTTTTTGTGACAAATGAGGACATAATTTTGTATAATGACAAGGGTATGACATAGGTATTACAAGGAGAAAGTGACTTTTCAGGACATTACTGTGTGTGTGTGTGTGTGTGTGTGTGTGTGTGTGTGTGAAGCAGCTCTGACCACAAAAAGGATCCATGGATTTACTGCAACAGCTCTGAACAGGAAGTGGCCAGATGAGTGTGAATGTAATGAGCTGCATTCTTGCAGTCAAGAAGACCACTTAAACAGAGACCCAGTCCAGACCCAGTCCAGACCAGGACACTGTATAGAGCTGTTACCAATCAACCGAAATCACTAATGAAACAATACATTCATCTTTGCAATGCAGAGGTGGAACAGAAGTTGCATCAGAGTTGGTACAATTACAACTTAATGTTTAATGTTATGAGATTAATGTTTTATATATAAAATAACCTTGAGTACTACAACACTACTACATTCACCGATGGAAATATGAACAAGAAAATACATCTGTCCATCAGAGAGCATCCGTTCAGCCTCCACGGCTCAGATGAACACGTTTCCTCAGATGCTCCTCATGGACTCATGCTGAAGTAACTGCTTGTGTACCTGGTTAAATCTGAGGTTTTTAGCATCCTAAACACTACAAATGAACGATTAAACTGCCCTGGACCTTCATGAAGCCACCGGCAGATGTCACATGCTCATGTTCTGATGGAGGAAGTGAAAGCAATGATGAGGTCATTTCACATTTCCCTTTTTAAATGTTGCTGTTGCGTGAATAAAGACCAGAGCGCAGAGCTTTCATCCTTCTTACAGACACTAGAAGATTATGTTCACGTTTGATTCTGCGATCATCTTTACTGACAGATTTATCTTCTACATGCACTTCCCTAAATCTGTATGAGATCACGTTTTAGAAGGTTAAAATTAGATCACACACTACTACTGGGGTCGGTATCATATTTTTTATGTTTTTGAAAGAAGTCTCTTCTGCTCACCACGGCTGCATTTATTTGATCCAAAATACAGTAAAAATAGTGAAATATTATTATCATTTAATACAGCTGTTTTCTATGTGAATATCTGTTAAACTGTAATTTATTTCTGTGATGCGCAGCTGTATTTTCAGCATCATTACTCCAGTCTTCAGTGTCGCATGATCTTCAGAAATCATTCTAATATGCTGATTTGCTGCTCAATAAACATTTCTGATAATTATCAATGTTTGAAAACAGTTGTGCTGCACAATATTTTTGTGGAAGCTTTGATACATTTTATTTTTCAGGATTCACAGATGAATAGAAAGTTCAAAAGAACAGCATTTATTTGAAATAGAAATATTCTGTAACATTAGAAATGTCTTTACTGACACTTTTGATCAATTTAATGTGTCCTTGACGAAAAACTAGTAATTTCTCTCCAAAAAATCTTACTGACCCCAAACTTTTGAACAATAATTGGTCAAGAACTAATATAGCAATTCTGTCTGTTTCAGAAAGCAAATAAATACACAAGAGAAGCGGGTCATTCACGTGTGTGTGTGTGTGTGTGTGTGTGTGTGCGTGTGTGAGTGTGTGTGTGTGTGTGTGTGTGTGTGTGTCTGTGTGTGTGTGTGTTTCTGTGTTTATGAGCGCTGGTCATGTGATCGGGTGAAAGGCACCTTGCATTCTTCACCCTAATGACACACATTAGCTTCAGCTCCAAAAATACCTGCCAGATTCCAGATAGGATCACGACGCCAGAGCAGAGCGCTGTGTGTGTGTGAGAATGACGCTGAACTTCTTCTTTTAACAAAACCAACACAAAAGTCATGTTTTGTAATGACTCCTGTCGGCACTAATGTGTGTTTCTTCTCAAACTCAAACACAGAGACCTTTCATAAACAACAATCATCGTGTGACACTCAGATAGTTTAAATTAAATAATCTATTGTACAATTCATCACCTATAGTCTTTCACACTGTATGATCTATACTATTTACAAAAACAATATTTTACATGAAAAACATTTGCTACAAAGAAGTCAAAGTAAATGTGTTTGTCCTGAAGGGGAATCAATCCGGCGCGGCACTGGAGCATCATCAGACGTCTCTGCAGGTTTCCACGTTAAATCTCAGTGTCTCTTTATGATCTCAACTGTTTCTCCCGGAGGACAGTGAGGTTAAATAGACATTCATTGCCCCAAAAGACACCAGTAATCTCACACGTGTCTCAAAAAAGTCAATAAACTCGATAATGTCTCAAATATGATCTCAGTCAATTCTCTTCAAATGAGCCGAGCTGCTCCACATTCATTTCACAGATTTATACTCCGAACTATTGACTCATTTGAATCTGTATGTCTCAGGAGAAACATGTGAGACTGACCTGATCTCCTGAGCTTTGAGTGAGCTTTAATAAATAAGTGGTTCTGTCTGTTTGTCTGTAGTCGTAGTTTCGGTCGTTTCGGTCTTTTCATCATTTCTCTGGCACTTTGTTGATGACTTTCTTCTTGCGGATGGACACCAGATCATAGAAGGGGTCTTTAGTGATGCTGGCCCTGTGGAGACACGACACACGCATGTCAGACGAGTCACGTGTGTTCAGACGGGTTCAGTGCGTTCCTACCTGATGGACTCGATCCAGTCGTCTCTCTCCTCGGCTGAAGCGGCGCAGATGGTGTACGACTGATGCTTCCCTTCCACCACACGTCCATCCGTCTCCGTCTTACACGCCTTGATCTTCTGACCTCGGCTGTTGGGGTTATACAGCTCCAAACAATACTGCACACAGGTCAAAGGTCACAGGTTAACCAGTGCTAATGATACCACTCCCTGAACACACACCGGCTCTGTTCAAACCCTCACTCTCTACATAGACAGCTGTCTTCTTAGGCAGCATATTAACAACAGTGAGCGATTTGCAGCGACAGCAACTGATTCCAGTACAGTCTGATGTTTGTGTGTTTCTAAACTAAAAACTCAAACTACTAGCTCAAATAGTCAACTTTTAATTAGACTGAACTATTTTATCAGTAGTTTTTTTTTGTACTGATTCCGTGATTGATTGAGAGTGACGGTTTTCATTTCAAAGTGACGTATTTCATGTCATTTTTCATTTCTAGGTGTACATCACGTTGTATTTCGGGTCACTTTTTTCATGTTACACAAATATATTTCACACCCAATTTATTTATTCGTACTGAGTTTTCACGAGGCTGATATTTATTTATTGCGAGATGTATTCAGTGATTTCGTCATTGTGTTTAATTTCATATTTCATGAGTTTTTTTTTTTTTTTAGACGTATTTCAGGTGGTATTTCACGTTACATGAAAAACATACAGCTCATTTATGCTTAAATTTCACTCTACATTTATTTATTCATTGCAACATTCCATGGCACATTTAATAAATTTATTATGTATTTATTTATTTAATTCAGTCTGTTAAATCGCTCTATTCTCAATGTATTATATTTATAATCAATGTTTATTTACAATAATGTTCCATTTGCAAATACTTCTAAATCTGAGTTTCTCAATCAACATTTCCTCACGAGAATCTGAACATTTGAAACATTATTAAAATCAGAAGTTGCATATGTTAATATTATTTAATGGACCTGAACTGACATGAACTAACAGTGGTATTTCTATTAACTAAGGTTAACAACGATTAATAAATGCAATGCAAATGAATATCACTGTTCGTTAACGCGTTAGCTAACATTAACTAAGGGGAATTTATTGTGAAGTGGTACTAATATTTCTTCTCTTGCTTTATTGAGTAATTTGATTCTGTGATTGTCTTTCTCCTTTGGCAGCTGGCCAAACTGCAGTGTAATGTTTGTGTCCACTGTTTAAAGCAGTTACTCATTGCCGTTGACTAGGTTTAGGTTAGTAGCACGGTCTCACCGGTTTGCGTGGAAACATGACTTCCCTCACGCACAGATTCTCCAGAGGAATGATGCCGCGAGGCTCTTTGTCCTGAACACAAACACACGATCACTCCTGATCTACACACATGCATGCATTCAGAGAGACGGCTGCTGTTCTTACCGTGGTAAATTCAAAATAATACAGGCAGTTATCAGTCAGAATGAACCAGCGTCTCTTCCACGTCTTCACACGGCCGCCTGCCGACAGATAATACATAACACTGTCAGATGATCGTATTCTTACAGTCTGAGCTTCTATTTGACACAAAGACCATGAGCATGTCAATGAAAAGTCAAAATTATTTAAATGTCTTAATTATGCTAACAAAATGTGACTTTAAATGTCGTAATTATGAGATACTAAGTAAAATTATGACAGTCATAATTATGAGATAAAAAGTCAAAAACATGACAAAAGTCACAAGTATGAGATAAACTGTCAAAATGACTTTAAAAGTCGAAATGATGACACTATCGAAATTATGAGATAAAAGGCATAAAAGCTTAATTCTAAAAGGACAATTCTATCATAATTTTGATTTTTTTTTTTATTCATAAATATAACAGTATGCAGTGAATATAACTTAGTAAGTGCAATTTCGACTTTATCTCATGATTATAATTTTTGTCATAACTGTCATAATTATGACTGTCAATTTAGATTTTTTAAACTCATAATTATGACGTAGTATGTCAATTTCAACTTTTTATTTCATAATGACTTAGTATGCCAATTTCAACTTTTAAAGTCATAATTTTGACTTTTTTTGATCTCATAAAAATTCGACTTTATCTCATAATGACTTAAACTGCGTCACAAATGACGCACTATACACTATGCACTTATACACTATGTACTCAACCATGTAGTGTATGGATTATATAAGGTTGTTCATAATCTGAGTCTGGTAGCCCCTCCCCCTTCGTTACATAATTAAAGCTGCGACAGTCGAGTGCATGAAGTGTCCAACATTCCACACTTCACTTTTTCGGTTATTTAAGTGCATCATCCTGGTATTTCAAGTGCACTTTTTATTTTTGGAACTTTCAGTGCGAACACATTATTTGCACTATTTATAAGTACATGATTTGGGACGCACCTTTAGTGTGTCAATTCCAACTTTTAAAGTCATTTTGACTTATTATGCCATAATTACAGATGTTTCTAGAAGTTGTTGATCATAGGCCTCATTGACCTGAGCTTATGCACCTCTGTTTTTGAGTGAACATTGCCAAAACTCACCACAATTAATGCTTTTTTCACCACAAAACTGAGGAGCATGAGCTATGATGACTATGATGCTAACATGAGTCAGATTTTATAGACTTGACTGTTCATGTTATAAGCAGTGCAGATCAAAAGCAGTTGAATCTTTGTAATATCTAATGCATCTGGTCTCTTCTGAGCTGGGTTTACCCAGTTTGAGCAGCCAGCCCTCTCGGTCCGGGTTGAAGAAGGTGTGCGTCAGATCGTTCCCATCATCCTCTGGGATTTTAAAGGGTTCGTTGCGTATGCTGTTGTACAGATTCTGTTGATGCAAAGAAACACACATTTTCACCAAAACACATCAAAACCACGACCTTCCTGTTAGTGCTGCTTATTTATGTAAATATACACCGCCATTGACGAATAATTAACACCAGTGTGCTATCTGTGCTCAGTTATAACATCCTCACGAGGCTTCAGTCTTGTGTTTTGTTCGTCACAGCATCTAGCGTTGCCATTTCTATAAAACCAACAATCAGGACACTTTGCAAGATTTGAGAAGGATAAAAACTGAAGAATAAGTCTAATCCAGTGACAACAAACCATTTCCATTAAAGGACGGTATTTACCCCTTAAAGTGATTTCCAGGGGCATTTTTGAACCTTAATAAGGGCAAATTATCTAACATTATTAAATGCGCACATCATCTTTCATGGAAATTCGTGTGTTCATTCAATAAATGCAATTAGAATAGTAAGACACAATGGGGCTGGTGTGCGTCAGATCGTTCCCATCATCCTCTGGGATTTTAAAGGGTTCGTTGCGTATGCTGTTGTACAGATTCTGTTGATGCAAAGAAACACACATTTTCACCAAAACACATCAAAACCACGACCTTCCTGTTAGTGCTGCTTATTTATGTAAATATACACCGCCATTGACGAATAATTAACACCAGTGTGCTATCTGTGCTCAGTTATAACATCCTCACGAGGCTTCAGTCTTGTGTTTTGTTCGTCACAGCATCTAGCGTTGCCATTTCTATAAAACCAACAATCAGGACACTTTGCAAGATTTGAGAAGGATAAAAACTGAAGAATAAGTCTAATCCAGTGACAACAAACCATTTCCATTAAAGGACGGTATTTACCCCTTAAAGTGATTTCCAGGGGCATTTTTGAACCTTAATAAGGGCAAATTATCTAACATTATTAAATGCGCACATCATCTTTCATGGAAATTCGTGTGTTCATTCAATAAATGCAATTAGAATAGTAAGACACAATGGGGCTGTTACCAATCGAATGAAGTCAATATTACCAAAAATCCATCTTTGCACTGCAGAAGTGGCAAAGAAACTGCATTTATTTAGATTTATATATGTTTAATGCAGCTCGGATATGCAATGAATGCATTTACACTAACTGCATAAATAATGTTCGAAGATTAATGTGTTAAATATAAAATATACTTAAATTAGAACTCTGAAATGACACCTTAACTATGAAACTTAAACCCGCAGTAGGTGGCGACAAATCACTCAGTCACTGATTCAGTCATTCAACTGATTCATTCAAAACGGCTGATTCATTTAAGAATGCAGTGACTTGCTGATTTCAGAACTGTATACAAGTATACTACTCTTACGATAAAAAAAGTAAAAGTAGTATACTACAATGCAGTTTTGAATATAGCAACTGTCTTTATGAATGGGTTTTTGAGTCATTGATTCAGTTGATTTGTTCAGAAACAGTGAATCATTCAGGAACGAAACACCAACGTGTTGATCGTGTTGGTGAAACAGAGCAAAATACTGATAATATTGTGTCTAAAATGAACATCACTTAATATCAGCTTGAACATAACATTACCTTTTATTTATTTATTATATGCCACTGTATAAAGTATAAAATAGTGGCTGCTCACCGTCAGAAGCTCGTCGGGCAGATCTTGTCCGTTGTTAATGCCGCGGTTCATGCTGATGAATCTCTCAAGCGAGGTCTTGTCCTTCACGTTGGGATTGTGCAGACTCGTGTTCAGCATGATGATGGCAAACGACAGGATATAACACGTGTCTGACGATCACAATAACAACAATAATAACTCATTATTTGTCATTCGCTCAAAAAAATCAGGCCTAAATCAGGCTTAAATTTAATATCTATGCATTTCAATTGCATATAAAATATCCATTTGGATTAAACTTAATGTGATGCATACTGTATTTTCCAGTCTATTTGTCTTTTTATTAACTACTTGCATTTAGATTTTATTTACATAATTATATTTTCAATGCATTTATTCAAATTGCTTAGAAGCAGCATAACCTATTTAGCAAAAAAATTAATTTTGTGACCAAAATATATTTTAAATATATGATGTTAGCAGCGACACTCAATGAAATATATTTTTGAAATAGAAAATATATTTAGTTGCATTTACCAAAATATATTTTAAAATGTATTTCAGGGGCAAGAAAATACATCCTACATTTAGGCTAAATGCAAATGTGAATGGAATAGTCAAAAGATCAAAATGAATAATGATTTAATAATATATATATATATATATGTATATACATTTTTTTTTATTGTGTAAGTATGTTTTAAGTATGTGTTATATTCATACGTGTTATAGACAACAAATAAAGTTTTCTTCTAATGTGACAAACATTAATTTATTTTCTTGGATTGAAATATATAGCGCAAAATATATTTTAAAATTTTTTTACATTTTAAATATATTTATATTTTTAAAATATATTTTCAAAAATACACAAAAAAAATGGGCAAAAAATATATATTGGTAGAAAATATATTTACGTAAATATCTTTTGAAGCATATTTTAGCAAATATGTTTTTTGGCCATTTTTTTTTTTTTTTGTATATTTTGAAAAATTTTAACTTTTCTTTTCTTTCTCGCTTTAAAAAAAATAAAACATTTTCTATATATTTTAATCCAAGAAAATACATTCACATATAACACATCTGAATGTAAATCGGCAATAAAGGAGCATACTTTAATGTTCTATATATATATATATATATATATATATATCTACCCTAAACGTAGGATATTTTCTTATTAGGTATTTTAGTGCCCCTGAAATACATTTTAAAGGGGTCATATGATGCGATTTCAATTTTTCCTTTCTCTTTGGAGTGTTACAAGCTCTTGGTGCATAAAGAAGATCTG